GAGAGAGAGAATTTTTAATATTTATTTTTTAGTTCTCGGCAGACACAACATCTTTGTTGGTATGTGGTGCTGAGGATTGAACCCGGGTCGCACGCATACCAGGTGAGCGTGCTACCGCTTGAGCCACATCCCCAGCCCCCCAAATCCCTTTTCAATAGAGACAAGGTCTCACTAAGTTGCTCAGGCTGGTCTCCAACTTGTAATTCTCCTGACTCAGTCTCCTGAGTAGCTGAGATTACAGGAATGTAACATCATGATTGGTTCGTGTCTTTCCCTTCTAATCACAAGATAACACCTCACTCTGTTTGATCAATTTGCCTTTCCTTCAGGTATTCTATGGTGGTGTTTGAAACTACAGCATTCATACTATTGTCATTTTTAGAATAGCCTCTTACTCTTATGACTATTTCTCCCTTTCTAATGCATAGTAGAGTTAAGCATTTTGTTTCCAATGTTCTTAGTGGCTATCTTCATTAAAGTACTATGTTTATACATTTATCTTCCATATTAGTGTCCTGAGGACAGGGAATATATGTTATTCATCTTTAACTACCTGAGTTATTCATTTAGAATACCTCTTAGGTGCAAGCCTTATTTATTCTCATTGCCAAAATCTGATTTCACATCTAACTTACTTCCTACTGTGTGTTATCTTACACAGAAGTATTTTATGTTATGAATTTATATTTTCATCAAGCTTAAACTGGTTGAACTTTCTTGCTATCTCTTTTTGGTATTGTGGTTAAGTGCCATTGGGTTCAATCCCCAATACAAAACAAATAAAACAAAAAAATCTTCCGGGTTGCTTATATCAAAACAAGTATAAATTAAATTCCTTTTTTTTTTTTAATTGAAGCCAAGGCCTTAGACCACTATGCTATATCCCCTATCTTCTTAAAATTTTGAGTCAGGGTCTTATTAAATAACTCAGGCTGGCCTGGAACTTGTGATCCTCCCACTTCAGCTTCTTCAGTAGCTGGAATTATAGGCATGAGTCACAATGTCCAGCATAAAATTCTTAATATCATCTTTTGTTAGTCTTCATCTTTTGTCTGGGGCAAGGGTGGGGGGTGAGGTGGGGGGGCTAGAGGGATTCTTTTTTTTGAAGGGGTGCATTATAGTTGTACATAATGCTGTGATTTGTTTTTCTTTTTTAATATTTGTTTTTTAGTTATAGGTGAACATAATGTATTTATTTTACTTTATGTGGTGCTGAGGATGGAACCCAGTGCCTCACTCATACCAAGCGAGTGCTCTACCTCTGGAGCCACAACCCCAGCCCTGTGATTTGTTTTTAAATATTCATATATGCACACAATAATATAATTTGGCCAATGCCACTTCCCAGCACTTCTCACCTCCCGACCCCTGGTCCCTTTGAAAAAGGACTGGGGATGTAGCTCAGTAGTAAAGTAAGTGCCCCTGGGTTCAATCCCCAGTACCAAAAAAAAGTGCTGGGGATGCAGCTTAATGGTAAAGCAACCCTGTATTCCATCTCTAGCATGTATTTATGTTTCTGTATATCTATCTAGCTACCACTCAATCAGGTAAGGAAGCAAGCAATGCATTAATCTATGAATAGCAGAACAGACTACAGGGAGGTAGAAACTAGTTGGAGGAAGCAGTTTACTAGGGGCAGGCCCTAGAAAGGTTTTTCTTTTTCAGATCCCTTCTTCTCTCTGCTTCTGGCTACTGTGAGCTGGGTAGCTTTCCTCCTCCATGCTCTTCTGCCATGTTTCTGCTTTGGAGCCAGCTGACCATGGAAAGAATCTCCTGAAACCCTGAACCAAAATAAATCTTTCCTCTTTTTAGTTGTTCTTGTCTAGCCTAAATTTTGTCACGGCTTTTTGAATAGCAGCTCTCAAAACTTCTGTTAATGCTTTGCACTCATAAAATTATTGGGGATCCCGCAGATTTTTGTGTGTTGTAACTAATGATATTTACCATGTTAGAAGTTAAAACTTAGAAATTGTGTGAAAGTATGTTATAATATAAAACATTTAAAATTTTAAACTCCAATATTTTCCAAACTAAAAAAAGCTTTTTGCTTTTCTTTTTAATGTATGGTTTAATAGAAGACAAATGTATCTATGACAACTTCTGCAATTTCATATAGACTCTAGAGAACTACACTGTATACTCAAGTAAATGCCAATAAAAGGAAAAAACTTAGTTTTACATCACTGACATGACTATTTTAAGACAAACTTCTCTTTATAGAAATATGGAGAAAAGAATAAAAGTTAAACTGTAAGAAGCAAACAGATAAATTCAGAATTATGACATTCCTCAAAATAATTAATCTAAATTCTTCAGTGAATTAATGGCATACAGAAAATGAAGGTAACAGGCTAAAACACAACAAAATATCTTCTGTGAGCCTTGATGGAACCTATTTTAAAGATGAACTCTAAATAGATATCACTGAAACAATGGGAAAAATATCTGAATACATTTAGAGTATATGATCCAAAAATTAATGTTATTTTTTTCTGGTATAATATGGGTATGTTAGAAGAGAACTATATCTTTTTAGAGATGATGAAGTACATAACTGGTAAAACGAAATGATAAGCCCTAAACAACTAGATTTCAGGTTTTAACTGGATAGCTCAAAGAAATAATCTGTCAGCATACATGAACTATCATGGATAATTTAAACCATAATAAGCTATTAATTTATACCTTAATTATTGTGAGTAGTCATATGCAATTTAATAAATTAACATACTGAATCAAGCCATTCAGAGAAAAATCTGTGAACAAATTAATCTGACAAAGCACTAAGCTATGTATGCAGTAGGAGGGAATGAGAGCTCAGATGAATTAATAGGGGATTGCAAAGTAGGTGATGAGAGTATGGTTTTAAAAATAAAGTATGTTGGGGGCTGGGTTCGTGGCTCAGTGGTAGAGTGCACAGCTAGCATGCATGAGGCACTGGGTTCGATCCTCAGCACCACGTAAATGTAAAATAAAGATATTGTGTTCTCCTAAAAGTAAAAAATAAAATTGAAAAAAAAGTATGTCTCACAATAAAGTTTTAAGAGAATGCAAGGAGGAATAGAATAAATTAGTAGTTCTTTTATCTTTGCCCTCACATGCCTGCACATACCTCAACACTTCCCCCTCCCAAAATCTTATTTGGTATACTTTGTTCTACTGTTCCCTTTGGCATGGTTGGATGTTATAGAACTTGGGTACCTTTAACAGTTAGAAAGACTTACACTGGTCACTCGACGGTAGATCTGCGCAGCATTTTGGCATTCTGAGTATGGATATTCAGATGTAGCCATCTCAAGCATGCACATCCCAAAAGCATAAACATCAACGGACTCATCATATTTCTCCTCATACATTTCAGGGGCCATGAACTCTGGAGTACCTTAAATTAAAAGAACGATTCAGACTCAATACAAGCAGAAGGCGCAGTTGTTACTCACCAAGGGGAAGAAGCACTGGAGTTGACCTGTGAGAGAGAAGAAATTGGGAGAGGAAAAAGAGGAAGGACATCTTCTTCGTCAGTCTATTCCATCCAATATCTCATAGAAGATCTTCCACTGTAAGGCCTTTATAAGAAACATAACAGGGTCAATAACTGATTATTTATGTATGGTTTAAAATGGATCCCTATAATTCAATGTCAGAGCACAGTCTTGGCTAAGAGATAAACTAATATAACATACAGAAAATAAATGGAAGGAAGTGGTAAGAAACTAGCAGGGAACAAAGCAGATATAATGGCTTCTACTTATATATGATGGATTAAAAAAGATTAAGTATTTGTCTGCCCCCTACTGTACGTAACTGTAAAGTGAACATTTACAGATAAGTCTCATGTCATTAACACTACACCTAATCATTTTCACTTTTAAAGGAGGCCTTGCAGTGAAAAACCAATGTTCAATACATTTTTAAAGATAATAAAATAAAATGCAATTGATTATAAAGGTCACTCACTGGAGCCCTTTATTTCACATACTTACCATTAAACCTGCAGTATACAAACATACTGCAGATACAGGAAATAGAGTGAGGGACATCCTAGAGGAAAAAAAAAAAAACAACAAAAAAAAAAAAACCCCAAAATATATGCATGCACAAATATAGAACTCAAATACAGACTGGTTTATGGGCAAGAGTGTGTAATCCCACAGGACTAGGTTTGGCAATGCTTTTGAATAATTAAGTCTTCCATTAGGTAAAAACAAAGAAAATAAAAATTATCTTGGGCCAGGGATTTCTGGTGAAGATGGCAAAAAGGAAATCATCTTCAAATAACTTTTTTCCATTCATCATGTTAATTATTATAAGAAAATGTAAAAATAGCATTTCAAATCCTAGTTACTAACATTCCAAGGAGCACACTGTTGTGAGCAAATTACATCAGTAATTTGCCTTTCCTATTAATACTTAGGATTCAACCTGCTTAATAATCAGTTAATTTCTTTTTCACTATTATGACCTTTTTGTGTGGCGTGAAATAAAATGTATGTGAAGGTTTCAAGTTAAATTATGATAATTGCTTCAGAGAGCTCAAAACATATTTTTTTCAATTATGACTAACATGTGATTAAAAGTTTGAAAGGATAGCCTTATTCTTTAGATCATTTATCCTCAAGAAGGAACAGTTTTTCCCCCCAAAGAGCAATGTCTACAAACATTTTTTATTATAACAACTAGGGGTAGGTGGACAGAAGGTGTTACTGCTGGTATTTTGTGGGTAAAAAGCAGAAGGATGCTGATAAATAATCCTAAAATGCACAAGACAGTTCCTTACAACAATTTCCCATCCCCAAATGTCCATAGCACTAAGGTTGAAAAATCTATTTTGGATACTTGTAATTTTGGAAGAGTGGAAGTTATAAAATAATATATAAAATCAACTTTTCAGAATAAACTGTCATATTTTCATATATTTAAGTAAAGTTTTAAAAAGACAGGTCTTTTCAAATACATACCCAATGTACATTTTTTATGTCAAACTATATTTCATTTCATTAACAAAGAAAGTGATATACTAGACATACTATATAAATAGTACACAAAATATTAAGTATCGAGAGAATGATTCAATAAGGTTGATACATGAGGTTTTGTCAACAAAGTTCACCTTACTTCCCCCCATGTAATTTACAAAACACCAATAATCTTAAAAATGATTATAAAAGCATAAATATACAGAAACTCCACATCTCATAAGTAGAAATGATCACCTTCTAGGTTCAAGCTATAAATTTCTGAAGGTTTATTTCATGTCAGAAAAGTTCTGACAGGGTCAGGTGTCTAAACAGAAGTAATGTCAGAAGGCTAGACAGGCTCCAAGGTACACTTGAAACATACCTATCACACTCTTGGCAAAAGAAGCTCGCTTCAAGGTTGCCAGGCCAAGGTCTCCAATCTTAACTGAGCCTGTAGGGCCAGTGATAAAGATATTGTCACATTTAAGATCCCGGTGAATAATAGGTGGAGTTCGAGTGTGAAGAAACTGAAGTCCTTTAAGGATCTGCCGGCACCAGCTTCTTAGAACTTTGATCTTCATCACTTTAAACCTTTTCAGGTATCTGGAAAAGGAAAGTATACCAAAAAGGTTATCAATGATATGAGTGTTGCTTTGAAGAATTCCATTAAATTCTAGCATACTTGAGATGGGAATATCAAATTTAGAATATTAAGATTCAGTAACCTGGTTAGCGATACTTTGAGAAAGGTTAAAGAGTTTGAAATAAAAATTCTATTAAAAAAACAGAAAAATAATTCTTCTAAGTACTTTTTCATCTGAACAGCTACAGTATTAGGTAACTAACTTTTTTGTAAACGAATAGGAGATCAAGTTGGCTGTATCAGCATTAGCAATAACCAACTATTTTAGAGAACAAAATATTTAATTAGCAGTTGGAAAGAAAATCTTAATAACAAAACACAAAAATGAATTCCTTAAAGTTAGTTCTGCCTATTAAAATGACTAAGAGGTAGAGTTCTACTTCTGGTAATGAAGCAGCTCCTAATTGTTGTAAATGTATTCATAAATTCTAGTAAAAAATATACAAAACAATGATTTGATCGTGTTGAAGAGCAATCAAACTCAGTCACAATTTGGAGGTGAATTCAATCAAGGATGAGGAAAAGCAATGCTTGAGATTCCTACTTTCTATACCTTTTCACTGGAGAGAAGGTCCCAGTATGACTATAAGGTCAGCTAAAATCAAGATAAGAAAAGACAGTTTAGGATCCGCAGCATCAAGCACATTGTTGTCCACCAGAACTCTGCCCAGGACAGTCTGCTCAAGAAAGTATCCACTATCCAAATGTGACAATTTACATTTAAATGTAGAGTAACTAAAATAAAAAATTCTATTTCTCAGTTTCAATAGCCACATTTCAAATACTCAAAAACCACATGTAACAACTGGTACACTTTTAGACAATGCATATATTAGGAAATTTCCATCACCTCAGAAAGTTCTATTGACAGTAGAAATCTTGAAAGGAGAAAATTCCAAAAAGTAGAAGCAGATTCTGCATATTCTCTCTCTGCCCAAATCTCTAGTTGATCTTTGAAATACGTATATTTGAGACACAGTCTATGCAACCCAGGCAACGCTAGCAGAAAGGAATAGAAATTTCTAATGCTACCCACTGCAGATAAGATACAGTCTGGGGAATGCATTCTGATGCACATTTTATTGGAAACATAAAGGGGGAAAATGAAGAGCACTAATAATGTTAAACATACAAGATTAGATTTTCCTCTTACAATCTTTAAAATATATTAGACTACTTAAAGGAAAATCTCCAACACTTTGGGAGGGCCTTTAAAATATGTAAGTGCATTATATGAAAATCACAGTATCAAGAACAAGAATCAAAAGGAATAAGAATAATGAATTATGTAAAGGTTTTTTTATATTTTACATGAAAATGTACAGTATGAACACTAAATTGTGAAGAGTTAAGAATATAAATGCGATCTCTACAGTAATAATTCAATTTTTGAAAAAACCTGAAAAGCTACCAGTGGAACTAAAATGAAATTCTATTTCATTTGCAAGGAGTTATTACACTGACAAAAAGGGCTGTCACTCGCCTAGCATATGTGAGGTGCTGGGTTCGATCCTCAGTACCACATAAAATAAATAAGTAAATAAATAAGAAAATAAAGGTATCGTGTCCAACTACAACTAAAAAAATTTTTTTGGAAAAACTAACAGAAGGTAGATTTTACAGATTAAAAATACATTAAAATATTATAAATACATATGCATCCAATATCAGAGCACCTAAACATAAAGCACATATTAATATACCTAAAGGGGGGGAGGACACTTTAACAACATAGAAGAAAAATTTAACACCAAACTTTTCGGCAATAGACATAACATACAGGCAGAAAATCAAAGAAACAGCAAAGTTAAACTTCACCTTAAGACCAGAGTACACATTCTCTTAAATAGCCTGGAACATTCTCCAGGATACATCATATAGTAGGCCACACAAAAAAGTTTCAACTGTTTAAAAAAATTAAAATCCGAGTATTTCTTTCAACCACAATGCAGTAAAACTAGAACTCAAAAACAAAAAGAACTTTGGAAACTATACAAAAACATGGAAACTAACGTACTTCTGAACAATTAGTAGGTAGAAATTAAAAAGAAAATTTAAAATGTCTTGAAATAAACGAAAATGGACATAACATACCAAAATGTATCAGATGTAGCAAAAGCAGTATTAAGAGGTACATTTATATAAATCAATGCCTACATCAAAAATGTGGAAAGATCGCAAATTAAAAACCTATACCTCAAGGAACTAAACAAAACAAGAACCAAACCAAAAACAAGTAGAAGAAACTATGAAGAACAGAAATAAATGAAATAAAGACAAAAAAATTAAAGATTAATAAAAAAAAATTGTTTTGTTTTGTTTTTTAAATATAAACCAGTTGGGTGTGCTGGTGCACATATAATCCTACTGACTTAGGAAGGCAAGAAAAAAGGATCTAAAGTTTGAGGGCAACTCCGGCAACTTAATGAGACCCTGTCTTTAAAATTAAAGGAGCTGAGGATATAACTTAGTGGTAGACTGTCCAGAGTTCAATCCCCAGTACTATCGAAATAAAAAAACAAAAATAAACCAAACTGATAAACTCTAGAGAGATTAAAAAAAAAAAAAGACTAAACAACAGCAAAAGTCAGAACAAAAAGGAGTTATTACACTGACACAGTAATACAAAGGATTATGGGCTAGAGTCATGTGGCTCAGCATATGTGAGCATATGTGAGGCCCTGGGTTTGATTCTCAGCACCGCATATAAATAAATAAAGGTCCATTGACAACTAAAAAAATATTTTAAAAAATGCAAAGATCATAAAAGACTACTAGGAACACACAACAAATTTAATAACATAGACAAAATGGACAAATTCCTGCTGAATCATATACACTTTACCGAGACAGATCATGTTCAATTGGGATTCATCCCAGGGATTCAAGGACATGTCAACATACATAAATCAATAAACGTGATACACCATATCAACAAAATGAAGAACAAAAACCATATGATCATCTCAGTAGATATAGAAAAGGCATTTGATAAAACTGACTTCCCTTCATATTTAAGAACTCTGAACAAATTAGGAATAGAAGCATTATACCTCAACCTAATAAGGGTTACATATAAAAAGTCCACACCTAACATCATATTGAATGGGGAAAAGCTGAAAACATTCTAAGACCTGTAATAAAAGAAGGATGCCCACTTCCACTTTTATTCAACCTAGTATGGGAAGTCCCAGATATGGAAACCAAACCAAAGAAAGAAAAAGAGTATCCAAATTGAAAAGGAAGAAGTCAGATTATCATTATTTGCAGATGGCATGAACTTAGACCTAGAAAGCCCCAAAGACTCTAAAAAACCGCATTAAAACTAATAAATGAATTTGGCAAAGTTGCAGAAAACAATCAACATATTAAAAAAAGCAGCATTTTTATACACAAACACTGAATTATCTGAAAAAAGAATTCAACAACATAATTTCACTTACAATTACTACAAAAACAAAGCCTTGAAATCTGATATACCCAAAGAAATGACAACAAAACTACACACTGAAAACTACAAAGCATTGATGAAAGAAACTGAAGAGACAACACAAAATATTGGAAAAACAGCCTTTGTTCCTGAATTGGGAATATCAACTTTGTTAAAATGTCCGCATACTCAAAGCAATCACTATATTATACAATCACTATCAAAATATCAATGATATTTTTCAAAGAACTAGGGAAAAAATCTTAAAATTTTATGTAAACACACACACACCCTCTGAAGAGCCAAAGCAATCTAGAGCAAAGAGAACAAAGCAGGGGGCATTATACTATGTGACTTCAAAACATATTACAAAGGTACAATAATCAAAAAAGCATGCTACTGGTATAAATATAGACACACAGAACAATGGAAGAGAAATAGCCTAAAAGAAAACCCACACATCTATAGCCAAGCTATTTTTGACAAAGTGCTAAGAACAAGCACTGGAGTAAGTACAGTCTTCAGTAAAAATTGCTGGGAAAATTGGATATCTACATACAGAAGAATAAAATCAAGGGGGCTGGAGCTGTGGCCTAGTGGCAGAGCACTTGTCTGCCATGTGTGAGGTCTTGGGTTCAATCCATAGTACCTCATATAAATAAACTCAAAATGATTAAAGACTTATATGTAAGACCTGAAACCATGAAACCACTAGAAGAAAAACACAGATGATACATCAAACAAAAGCTTTTGCACAGCAAAGGTAATAATCAACAAAATAAATAGGAAACCTACAGAATGGGAAAAGATATTGCAAACTATAGATCTGTTAAGGGTGTAATTTCCAACTATTTGAGAAATTAACACAATAACCCCCCCACACTCCCGTCGAAAAGATTCTGATTAAAATATAGGCAACTGCCAATGGATAAGACAAAGGGAAATGAAGAGAAGAGGAATACAATATGAAAGACAGTAGAATAAACTGGACATAACTTTCCTATGTTCATATTTGAATACCGACTAGTATAACTCCACATCATGTACAACTGCAAGAATGAGATCTTATTTAGAGTAAGTCATACTCCATGTATGTATGTCAAAATACACTCTACTGTAATGTATATCTAAAAAGGACAAATTAAAAAAAAAAATAGGGAATTGCCAGGCAGGGCAACGCACACCTATGATCCTAACGGATTCAGGAGGCTGAGGCAGGAGTATCACAAGTTCAAGGCCAGTCTCAGAAACTTAGTGAGGCCCTAAGTAACTTAGAAGGACCTATCTCAAAAAATAAAAAGAACGGGGAGGGTAGCCCAGTGGTAAGGTGTCCTGGGTCCAATTCCCAGTAACCACCCCTCGCCCCCCAAAAAAGCAATAAACTTATACAGGCATTTCTCAAAAGACATACAAATAGTCAACAGCTATTTGAAAAAATATTCAATATTGCCAGGCACAGTGGTGCACACCTGTAATTCCAGTGACGCAGGCAGTTGACACAGGAGAATCACAAGTTTGAGGCCAGCCTCAGGGCCTTATCAAGAACCTCAACAATTTAGTGAGACACTGTCTCAAAATAAAAAATAAAAAAAACTGGAGATGTAGTTCAGGGGTCAAGTGCCCTTAGGTTCAATCCCCAATATCCAACAAACCAACAAAAACATCTTAGTACTGTTAATCAGTAGGGAAGTGCAAATCAAAACCACAATGAGGTATCACCTTGCTCAAGTTAGAGTGGCTATTATCAAAGACAAAAGATCCAAATGCAGGCAAGTATGTGAATAAGAGAGACTCCTTATATACTGTTGGTAGAAGTGTAAATTAGTAGAATCAGAATGGCAAACACTAAGGTGGTTACTCAAAAAAATCCACCTCATTCTCTTTTTCTGCTTTCTTTGTATTCGGATTTCTGTTACTCTTATTTACTGTTGCTTTTCACTGTTTACTAATTTACTGTTGCTAAACCCTGAATTTTTAATTTTAATGATTTTTTTCTTATTTTAGAAGTTCTTCTGATCTTTTTCAATTATGTTTGTACTCCCCCCGCTTTAATGAAATCCTTATGGCTTCTATGCCTTCTTTTTATTATCTCCTTATGGCTTCCATGCCTTCTTTTTATACTTTATAAACTTTCATATATCTTCACTGACATCCTTATATAAATACTTATTTTATCATTACTTTTATTTTTGTCCATGGTATCTTTAATTGCTGCAATGCTACTGTATCATTCTGTATATTCATCTTTATTGGTGTGATTTATACTTTTATTGTGAGATCATTTTCTTTGGAAACTGTTTTGTCCATGGATGGTGGGACCAGTGAACTATAAAAATTAACCTGGGAGGTTTTTTGTGTTCTGGATCAATATGATATGCATTCTTTGGCTGGGGTTTCCTGCACCAGCCAGGTACTATAAGCATATCATAGAACCATTTACATATGAAGTGGTAGAATATACAATAACTCAAATATTGGTAGCATGCAGAGAGGCAAATGGGGAAAAAGAAATACAAATTTTTATTTTTCATAGACTCCCCTCTTATCCACAATCTTGGGCAGAGGGGCAAAATTCTTTGTAGTTTTCACTGGCTGAGTTCTCCTCTTTGTGTATTAGTGAATTTAGAGTTTTTGTTTGTTTGTTTTTGACACAGGCCAAGTTCCAGCTCCCTTCTCTACTGATTTCTAAGACTTTTTGTCCTTAAATGGACATTAAAACCCTAGTAAAACTCCTTAAGCATCAATGTCTGGTATGAAATCCCAATAGACCACTGAGACATCAGCTTCTGATTTGGCTCCGAGTTATCTTCTCTTTGCTTTTCATCTGGAGGTTACCCTTTTCTTTTGAAGCTTGGGGTATGTATTGAAACAGCATATATATATTATATTTTACATTTTAGTTTATTGGTGGAGGTCATCCATTCCACAGGTGCTCAGCTCAATGCATTACCCCAAGTGTCTCAACATGGTGTTTTAAACAAGTAAACCATTGTTGGGTACTCTTAGGCATGCCTTATATTCTACCATTGAATAGGCATCTATATCAATGAAAAGAATCTCAAGATATAGACATACATACAATTACTCCACTATTTGTGTGTGTGTGTGTGTGTGTGTTTACCAGAGATTAAACTCAGGGGCACTTAACCATTGAGACATCCCACCCTCCCAGCCCTTTTTTGTATTTTATCTAGAGTTAGGGTCTGAGTTGCTTAGCACCTCACTTTTGCTGAGGCTAGCTTTGAACTTGCAATTCCCCTGCCTCAGCCTCCTGAGCTGTTGGCATTACAAGAGTACGCCACTGCACCCAGCCACTGTTGTTAAATTCATTCAAATATTTATCAAGTTTTAGATCCAATGTTAGGTGATACAGTCCAGTGGAAGAAAGAGTTATGTGATTAGCAAGAAGTCTGGATGAGTAGGAAAAAGATGTTGCCATAAAACAAAAGTCAGAGAAGTTGGTTGAAGATATTAAGAATTTTCAGGGGGAGAAAATCTGTTTGGCTTTTCAACATATTAATCTAGAATATTCAAGGCCACATGCAAGTAACCATAAAAGATGATATAAACTGTGTTTCAAAGATCTGGAATTGGAACTGGGATTGTGGCTCAGTAGTAGAACGCTTGCCTGGCATGTGTGAGGCACTGGGTTCGATTCTCAGCACCACATATTAATAAATGAACAAAATAAAGTCCAATTTAAAAAAAAGATCTGGAATTAATCAGTTCAGTAGTATTAAATAAAAAGTAATACAAGATATATGTGTGTGTATATATATATAACTCAGTTTCTCTATAACAAACTAATACCACATAATTTACAATATGATCCTCAGTACAAATAGATTAAGAGACCAACTCTTACCTAAAGTTATTTGCAATGGGTAATATGGAATTTTGCATGCTGTTTCCCTGTGAGGGATGACAGGTCTAGCTATTCTACCTTTAATTTCTGACACTACCAGACATCAAATTAAAAGTAATCTTGAGTGATATTGCATAGTATAATTTTCAGCTGATATAACAGTTGCATAGCTGTAGCAAAAAGAAGAAGAAGAAGAAAAAAAAAAACAGTATGAAAGTGATTTTTAAATGTGGGCCTTTGTAGCCAGGCATGGTGCACGCCTGTAATCCCAGTGGCTTGGGAGGCTAAGACAGGAGGATTGTAAATTCAAAGCCAGCCTCAGCAAAAGTGAGGTGCTAAGCAACTCAGTGAGACCCTGTCTCTAACTAAAATACAAAATAAGGCTGGGGATGTGGCTCAGTGGTTGAGTGTCCCTGAGTTCAATCCCCAGTACTCAAAAGGTAGGGGTTAAGGCACTTCTCCAATAAATTTCATTCTCATTTTAACCACTAGAGGGCTATCTTAACATCTGATTTCTGGCACTTCAGTTTTAGAAACACCATCAATGAATGACTTAAAATAACTAGGTTTATTCTGCAATAACTTCGCATTTCAATAGTTACCAATAAATAATTATCAATTCACTTTTATATATCATAGAACTCTGTGGATACAAAATATGCAAGTATAATAATGTTTGGGAGGATTGTTCCTTCCTTAATATAAGGATTAAAATAAGAAAAATCAAATCCTCTCACACTTCTTGGTCAACTTTTATAATACTGATGGACTTACGTTTTAAGTGTTCCAGATGTCATAAGCTCAGTCACCAAAACAATGCACTTCTTTCCTTTTACTGTGGATTCCCAGGAATCATAGAATCGAACAATATTGGGATGCTGAAGACCCTTTAACATTTCAGCCTCTTCTTTAAATCTCTGCCTTTCAGATTTTGTTAACTTTCGATCCTAAAATCAAAAAACAAAACAGAATGTAGTTTAAAATGATAAAACAAACACATGTCACAGAGTTAAATGCTAAGTATGTGCTAAATCTTGATCAACAGCATTAAAATAAAACAGAAACACTAACATTACTAATAACAGTTATTAGTCTGTCTTAACAGTAAGAGAACAGCTGGGCAGGGCGATGCAGGCCTGTAAAGCCACGGGGCCTCATAGTAGGCTGAGGCAGGAGAATCAGTCAGCCTCAACAATTTAGCAATGCCCTCAGCAACTTAGACCCTGTTTCTAAATAAAAATACAAAGAAGGGTTCGGAAAGTGGCTCACTGGTTAAGTGGCACTAGGTTCAATCAGGTTAAGGTGTGCTTAAGAAAATTTTGGATTATAAAGTCATGCTTGAGATTATTTTAGTGTCTCTACTGTTAATTTCTGCCTCGGACACAATCTCATCTTATAAGGTACAGTTAACTTTTAATTTTCAAAATTGGTTGTCAATTGCTAGAGACAATCAATTTAATGACATGGAGGGGTGTAGGTTTTGGAGACAGATTCAAATAAAAATTACAGTTCTATCTTTGCATTAATTAGAATTTTCTTTATGAATATATAACAACACTCACAGAATTGTTGTGAAACTTATGGAAACTCACAGGTATGCTTTCATCAGATGTTTAAAATACTTGATACTTCACAGGAATAATTTCTTATCTCAGATAAAGTAGGAGAAAATCATTTAATTTATTTGTCCCTTGACAAACTAAATTGTTCTGAGAATTAAAATTGAAACTCTGTCTTAACATGCATAAAATAATGTCTGTTGTATTGTTAAATAATCCAACATTATAGATTTAGCTTAAAGACCCCCCCTGTGAGTAGCTTGCCCTCCTTATTCCTACTCTTTACCCTTGTATTACCACTATCCTGAATTAAGCCATCTGGGGTTTTATATATCATATGAAACACCTGAATATATCATAATTTGTGTAATCACCTACTGAGGAATCTTATTTGTTGCTAATACTGCAACAATGTTGCAACATTAATTTTCTTGAGCATGTATATATAACTGTCAATAGAATATGTTTCTTTCTTTTCTTTTCTGTTTTCAATTGTAGATAGACACAATACCTTTATTTTACTTATCTTTATGCAGTACTGAGGATCAAACCCAGGGCCTCGCATAAGCTAGGCAAGTGCTCTACTACTAAGCTACAACCCCAGGCCTTACAATAGTATTTCTTAATGTGTAGTCCACAGATTCATTTAAAGTAGGCTCATAAACTTGTATGAAAATAAATCTTTATTTTTTAATCTTGAATTAAAATTTAACAAACCCTTTAATTACAAATGTAAACAACTAATGACATTCAGCATGACCTGTGAATTTTGTCACCAACAGACCTAGATATTTTCGGGTCACATAACAAGTGGTTACAGATTGTTCAAAAATCATTCATTAATTTGTTCAAAAATCATTAATTTGAAATGATAGTTATTAGACTTACTACTGGATTCACCATGCATTAGATGCCTGCTGTGTCATAACTTTTTTAAAACTTTGATAACTTTTAATACAGTTTCCTTTGTAATCCTATATTTCTGCTGTCTGAGTGGTTCATATTGAAATGCTAACCCCAAAGATGATGATAGGAGGGCTTAGTGACCTCATCAAGAGCCCTTAAGGGAGCCAGTTAATCCCATAGCTCCTTTTGCCATGAGAGAATGCAGCAAAAGGCAGCATCCAAAGCAGAGACACACTGAACAGGCTGGTGCCTTGATTGTGAACTTCTTAGGCTCCAGAATGTAAGAAATAGACTTCCATTATTTACAAATTGACCCTATCCAAAATATTTTATTACAGCAGCCTAAATGGACTAAAACATACTTCTGGTATGGAATACTCAACAACTTGATAGTATTAGGGATTAACTTTTTTGTCACTCTGATGAGTGTAAAATTATATCCTTCCGTCATTATTGAGCAATCTTGTTTTCTTTCCAAACTACTTAGGATTCCTCTTCTGTGAGCTGCCCACAGAAGACAAATTTCAAGTTTCTTTGTCTGATTTGTAAGAGTTCTTCATTTATTCTGACACCAATCTTTTATTGGTTTTATGAATTACAAATATCTTTTCTCAATTTGTGGTTTGTATTTTCACCTTGCTTATTGATGTCTTTTGACTTGCAGACAGACTGAATTAAAGTTACATTACAACATCTTTTATTATGTGGGAGATGGGTTGTGTCATCAGTTCTAAACATTGAGGTCATGATTTTTCTTCTTTTCCTTTTTAAAATATCAGTTCGTTTTGTTTGCCATATTTGGGGGATCTACTTGTTGAGGAATTTATTTCTCTAGGTAAAAGAGGGATTGGTTGTTACTTTTTTCTATATCGTCAACCAATCCCCCGACCCTGACCCAATGAACAATCGTCTCCTGGCCACCACCAGTTTCCCATATTAAGTACAGTTTTATTTCTGGACTCTACATTTTATTTCAATGGTCTGTCTGTTCCCAGCTTTAAAATACTGCAGCCCTAGTAAGACAATTTCTGCTGTATTCTCTCCAATATAATCTTTGAAATCATCTTGGCCATTTTCCCATGAGGGAGAGTTAACTTTTAAAATATGGAAATTATAGCGTAAGTCAATTAAAACCACTGGAATATGCTGGGTACAGTGGTGTGTGCCTAATAGTCCCAGTTATTAGGAAAGTCAAAGTGGGAGAATTACTTCAAGAGTTCAAGATCAGTTTGGGCTTGTTTCATTGAGACACCATTGTCTCAATGAAATAAAAACAAACCCTATCAGAATACTATTAAGAGTTTTAATTTAAAGTATGTTATTTGAAATAATATAAAGACAGCATATTATTTTATTGAACATTTCCCCCCAAGTAACACATATTAAACAATTTTACTGAGGTATAATTTATATATCACAAAAAATTGCTATTCCAATTGCCCCACCCTCATTTTATACATTTCCCCCTAATATTTTAATACTACCTCATTATTCCCTAAGTTATCACTTTTATAATTATCAATTAAACATTATATGCTTACTTATATTTACCATATATCTTTGCTCACCATTCCATTTTATTCCTACTTCTTTTCTCTGAGTTCAGCTTTCTTTTTTTGAAATCTATTTCTCAAAATCCTATCAGTGAACATCCATTAGTAGAAGAATCCTAGTCATATGAAAAGTTTATTTCATTCTCATTCTTGAATGATAGTTAATTTGGATGCAGAATTCTAGGCTAGTTTATTTTCTTTCAACATTTTCAAGATATTGTTTAATGCTTATTCTGGTTTCTACCATAGTTGTTAGTATAAATGTCATTAGTTGTAGGTTATGTTTACACTCTGATGACTCCTTTTCTCTACTGTAACCTCTCCACCGTGCATCTAGTATTATTTATATATAATGAACCTATTGAGCTTTTTAACCAAAGTTCTAAGTATTTGTCTTTTTAAAAGTCTGGAAAATTCTCAATTATTATCTCTTTGAATATGCTTCACCCCTTTTTCCTTCTCTTCTTTATAGGTGTGTGTGTGTGTGTGTGTGTGTGTGTGTGTGTGTAAGAGAGAGAGAGAGAATGAGAATGTGTGTGACCTTATCCTATCCTATCATTTAACTTCTCTCTTTAAGCTTTTCTTTCAGCTACTTTGACAATGTTCTCAGATCTACCTCCTTATCCACTAATTTCCGTTATTATACTTAACCTGCATATTACCTCTTCCCTATTATTATTATTTTTAAAAAATATTTTTTAGTTGTTAATGGATTATTTATTTATTTATTTATTTGTGGTGCTGAAAAGCGAATCCAGGCCTCACACATACCAGGGAAGTGCTCAACCAGTGAGCCATAACTCTAGCCCCTCCTATTATTATTAATTAAACTTCAAAGGCAGGAGGGGTGCAAAGGATATATGGCAGGGTCTCAGCCCCTGCTCCAGGAACAAGGGATAGATAATCATATGCCAGACACTTCCAACTGATCCTATATGTCTATGAGAACTTGGGTATATATTTGGACATCCAAAAGAAAATAAAACATAGGGTCAAGCAGTCAGTCTGTCACTAAAAATATCTATGACAGGGATAGATTAAGGGAACTCAACCCACCACTCCTTTCCCTACTCTCCCCATTAGCATCAAAAGCAAAGTTAACAGAGAAAAAGAAAGGGGAAAAAAAGGGGCGGTGGGGGTGTGTGGACGGCAACAAAAAAGCCCCAAACTGAAAAGGGCTAGATACATTAAACCTTTCAGTAGGAGAGGAATTCTCTGGCCATCTCACAAGCTCCAAATGCCTAGGAGAGAGAGATTTGTCCTTCCCTCACTCAGCAGTAACTCTACACGCGGAATTTTCAATTAGCCGTGCCAATCAGTTGCAATGATCTCTTCCAACCTCCACTTTATTCCTGCTTTGTGAACAGACAAGTTTTTTCCCAGCATCCTCCTTGGAACTTTCTCTCTTTAGATCTTGCTCCATCTCAAAATATAACTGCAAGACTGACTTCCTCTCTCAAAGCTCCACAAAAACCCACTTTCACATCCTTTTATTACATTTATTCTAACTGTCCAGCAAAAGGCTGTGCCCTCTAACAACAAAAGTCACATTCCCTGCCCACTGAGACTGAGATTCATAGCAGCACAGCTACTGCACCCTTAGTTATCACTGAAATCATGTATTTCCCAAAGAAGAGATAGCCAAAGGACAAGTCCAAGCATCTGAAAGGTCAAATTATGGAGGAAAGTGGTAATTCTCAATTAGTATTTAATTTCAATGCATTTTTCATTTCATTATAAAATCAAGTATTCGCGCTGCACTACCACTCCCAACAGCATCAATGTTTTAATTTAACTCTTTTGCTTTTTTTGTACCAGGGATTGAACTCAGGGGCACTTGACCACTGAGCCACATCCCCAGCCTTATTTTGTATTTTATTTAGAGATAGGGCCTCACTGAGTTGCTAAGTGCTTCGCCATTGCTGAGGC